GGCTATTGCCTTCAATTCACGACCTGATCACCTTTGTACCAATAATCCAGTGGCTTGAGGCCACCTTTCCCTGCGGCGTAAGTCGCCGGGTGGGTTGCTCAGGTCATCAAAACGCCTCAAACTTAACACGACTCAATCCCAATTTGATCAGGAACAATCTGAACTTAAAAATTCACATTTCAACCATTATTTATCGAAATTAAACATCGACGCTCACTATATATTCCACGTTTTCTAAAGTATGATATATTTATAAAAACACGGGTGTTGCCACACAAATGAAATTTTTCTAAGATTTTTAGGGGCTTAAAGGGAAATTTTTCGAAAGGTTGTAGAGACTAAAGTGTGATAATTTTCTCCTACATTAGGTAAGGTCATAAATTCCAAAAGCTTTCGGCATGCCCCGAACTAAAGTGGCAAACTGCTCAAACCAAAGTAACATGTTGTAAACTATAGTTTGAATTTGCAGTTTACTACAAGTTCAAATACTAGAATGTATAATATTATATCTCACGGGTTAAAATGCAATAATCTCGAAACCGTGATTTCTTTTACTTTCATCTTTCTAATTGGAAGGATCGCTTGCTTTTGGGTATCCGAACCAACTTGTGTATAACTTGATTAACCTAATGGGTCTTGAAGATAATATCCAGAAAAATCATAATGGCCCGACTCAAAAGGCTTATTTGTTCAAAACAATGATAGAATCGATAATTAGTCTCGAATCCAGTAACTCATGTTCATTGACGTGTTAAGAAACAATATGTAGATTGAAGAAGTCTGTCACTGTATCTTGTAATTGTGTTCCAATGAACATAAGTTTCTTTGGATCAAGATCTATCTCTAATTACGTGTTCATGGTGGTGGAAGTTTTATATACTATCTCGATTCTTAAGAATTTGATAATTTATTTTAGATAAATAATACTTATGACGGTAAAAATTAACACACGTATTGAATAAAGAAAACTGTAAAATGGCAAGAGAAAAATTCTAAGTTGTAGCGAAAGAATATCTCCAATAAGGAGGTTTATCGTTCCTTTTGATGTTTTTGGCACTTGAAGAAGAATGAATCATCTCCCACATCACTTGTATATCTTCGTATCCTCCACAAGCCTCCATGTCTTTGTAAAGACTCATCAACCCATTCTTGTGCCCTGCAATTACCATTAGAATGTTAGACAGATAAACACTAAACAAAATCAAACTTATAGGATATACCGGAATTGCAAAAGTATACATACACTGTTTTATAGTACTTAAATTTATAGGACCACATATTTGTTCTTCCTATATAAAGTGTTACGATAAATTTATAGGACGTTTTTCAACGTCAACTAGTTCTTTTGGTTGGGCTCCTTTAAGCTCTTTTTTAGGCCATTAAATCCCTAAGGATTCAACTTTTCCGATCACACTAATTTGGTCTTCAACCCTAATGGAAGGCTTGATGATCTATGCTCAGTTTTTTTCCACACCCCTTAATTTATAGCCACTAGGAAGGGTATTTCAACTTTAGTGAACATGGATCCAATGCTAACTTTTCTTGCTCCCAATCAAATCTTCAATGGACAGACATTTGTGCATGTTAAGGAGTCGTTTAACGACACAAATTAGTGTAAGCACTAATCTCCAACTGAATAAGAGTCTCTACCTTACCTTACCAGGTCAGCATCAATGGATCGATAAAGAGGGTTTGTCAAACACAAGCATCTCTAACTGGGTAAGCGCCTCTTACCAAGTAAGAAGCGGTAAGCAACTAGTAAACCGCCCTTTAGACACACATTCATGACACATACGAAAACACATACACACATACATATATAAGAGAGAGAGAGAGAGAGAGAGAGAAAAAAAAAAAAAGGATGAGAGAGGAGTGAGAATGATCTAGTGTCTTTACCATTAGCTTGGTTTGTGATGCATGATTTTAACTTGAATAGTAGGCCTTTTGTTGATAAGAGAAAAGAGTTTGTGAATTTGAAGCAATACCAGCCCTTCCACCTTCCCATTCTCCACAACTCTGATTCAACTTCACCACCTCACTCACCCCTACTCACTCTTATTTATATATGTATCTTTTATATATAACATACATATATACATATATATATATATATATATATATATATATATTTCAATGCTACAACACAAATAATAAGGGACAAGAAAGAAGGTAACACCCTACAAGACAAGAAGCCTAATGATTCAAATTACTTTCCCAATATAGACATATTTTTATATGTGATTAATTGGATTTCATCCCATAAAAGGAAAATTGATTCTTGAGGTGAGAGCATATGCTCATTAGCTTGAAATTGAATATATGAAGGATTTGAGTCCTTGGCATTTTTTGCCCAATTGTTCTTGTAATTCAAGATTCTAATCCAAATAAATAATTATTAGGTGGTGATGGGGTCAATAAGTCAAACGGTTTGTTGGATTTTCTCTTGGTTCTTTGTGTTTGTAAGAATTTAAGTGATGTCATCATCTATTTTTATCCCATTGCTAATTATTAATAGCGAATTTGAGTTTCTATGCTTATCTTAACGAGCACCGTTGTATCGAACCATGTTTTATTAGTTCCTTCTGTCTTAATTTCTCTTTTCTACTCTCTTTCAAGAGTGTTTCCCACATGACAACCACGTGATAGCAAGTAGAGTACTATTTTTTTTCCTGAAACACCTCCAAAAGCATCTGAAGTTATAGAAAACAAACCTATATTGAAGAGGATGTTAGATGTTGGTCGGTGGTATTTGATACCCTGTGACGTTTTGTTACCACTTATGCAAATGGACAATTTTTGTATTCAATCATGGTTCATTTACAATGTCAATAGATAAGAGCGGTCTCCCTCGTTACTATCATTGGTTGAGTGGGGAGAGAGAAGAAAACGAAGGTTGGGTGTGAGTGAAAGAGATAGAGAGGATGAAGGGGAAGTCAAAGGTTTTAAGGAAGGTGTGTTTGGAAAAATGATCAAAACTAATAAAAGTATAAGCATATTTTTGATACAATCCAACAATTAAGTATAGCTTTTATAAAGGGTGTTCAACTCAAATTTCATTTATTAGAAAATGACTAGAGGGTACTCGTGCAATGCAGCGAGATAAATCTTCATTTTAATGTTTAATTTTTATTTTTTGTCTCTATCGATATAATACGATTTTACGTGGTTTTAAGCAAACGATAATGTTTTTATTTTTGAATGAAATATAAATTTGAAGATAACATAAAAATTTGAAATTAAAAATAAATCGATGTTAGTATCAAAGTAACTATTTAATAATTCTCATTTTTTATCTAACTTCTTTAATTCAACTTTTTATTGTAATTTAGTTTAAATTTAATAACAAGATAATTTATTTTTGATTTAATAATATAATTTTTTATAAATATAATAATTAAACAGAATCATCTTAATTATATTTTAAATTTTTTATATTTAAAATAAAATATTTATCTTGACTATGTTTATTTAGAGTTAGTTACACGAATTCAAATATGAACCTTTAATAAGTTGTATTTACGTAAAATTACTTGTAATCTTGAATTTTAAGTAATATGCATCAATAAACAATACATCGTGCATAAAAAATGGTTTTTAAGAATTTTTGTCAAATATTTTATAATATAATATAAATATGTAACGTTAATGTTATGTTTTCAGAAACCAATAATGAGCAAATATGTATTCATGTAACATCAAATGGGTAACAGGTAAATAAAATGAATAATTAAATTTATATGAGTTGACTAGGAGGATAGTGGCAAAATGGTAAGTAATGCACCATGTGCCCTTTACCAAACCTTATTCTAGGTTTACCTGCCGCCATTTTTAACGCACACAAAAAAAAGGTAAAACACCTACTTTTCCAACCATCAAAAAAATTAAAAATTTAAGAAAACTATTTTATTTTGAATAAATAATTAATTTTTATTTATTTAATGAAAAAATCATTAAACTCACTAATTTTAAAGCCCTAAATTAGGTTTTCAATGAAAAACAATTAAATTTTTTCATTTTGAATGATTTAAATCTATAAACTACATTTTTAAATGATTAAATCTTTGAACATTTTTTCAATAAATTAAACTACTAAACTTATAAAAAATTGATTACTTATATCATTTTAATCCAAAAAAACTACATGTAAGTGATAGATAAATAAAAATAGATGAAAAAGAGAGAGATCAATATCAGGCGCCTACAACGTGTTAGACAATATGGAAAACGGACATTGGGTTTTTCGAAACTTTTCCTGAAGAAAAAATGTAATTATGAATTGATATATGAACAATCTTTAGGGATTAAATCAACTAACAAATAAGATATGGAACTTCAGAGCTCTCGTTAATTGTGCATAAGCCAACTCAAAATACCCACTCACAATTAAGAAACAGAGTTCCTTTAAGGGAGCATTTGGTAACAGATGGGAATAATGAATCGAGTATAATAAGAAATGATAAAAAGTGCTCAATGAACGTCTGAATGGTCACTCACTTTTAAGTAATCATGCATTACATTACATTATACCAAACATAATTATATATCATAATTCTCATTTCTCATCCCATTCTACCCTCAACCAAACAACCCCTTAACTTATTATGGTAATTTATTTGCATTCTTTCACGGTTCTATTTTCAAAAAGCATACATCTTATCACTCAAGACTGAAATGGGCAGCAGCATTTGCAAAAATTGACCATGTCCACTAAAAACTCAAACCCAATTTCATAAAACCTTGGATATTTTGGTCACCGGTTCGAGTCCCTACATAACCATGGTTTGTCCGACTGTCAAATGTGGTCCACCACAAAATTAGTTATGTGCAGAACAAGGCCATCCAAAAACAACTATATTAATGACAAGAAAATTTAACCTAATGTCGCAACACGAGGGGCTCAACCTAAAAGGTTTAAAGCAGTTATTACATAGAATATTGCAAACAAAATGGCAGGCAAGAGTCACCTACAAGTTCAAAATAAGCATTCAAGTATGGATGCATTTTAAGAAAAGTTAACCATTTTGTAATAAAATTAACTAACGAAGAGTCTCACATAACTTGTAACATCAAAACATAGGTTCAAAATTGTACCATACTTAAAGCAAGAAAAAGGACTTCCCACAAACCTGCAAGAACAGAACACCAAATAACGCAATCTAGGCAACAGGATCTTGGCCAGCCCGCCTCTTCCTAGCCTCCTCAATGATGGTTAACTTGATACCCTTACCCTTGGGAAGAGACACCCACGGCTTTGTACCCTTTCCGACTGTGAACACATTTCCCAAACGGGTGGCAAACTCATGGCCAGTAGCGTCCTGAATGTGAACTGTCTCGAAGCTGCCCTTATGTTTTTCCCTGTTCTTAAGGATTCCAACACGGCCTGTGTTTCGTCCACCAGTCACCATAACAACATTTCCCACATCAAACTTGATGAAATCAACAATCTTGTTTGAATCTAAATCAAGTTTAATGGTGTCGTTGGCCTTGATGAGAGGGTCTGGGTAGCGGATGGTTCGGCCATCATATGTGTTGATGTAAGGAATGCCCTTTGAGCCAAACTGGACTGAACGAACCTTGCATAGCTTGAACTGCAAAAAGAAGGTTTCCTTAGTTGATACTTGCACCACAAATTGAGAAACAAAATCTATCACTTAAAAAGCAACCAAATTATCTATCTCACTTTAAAAAATATCATGTGATAACAGATAACAAACTAAAACTAAGAAAAAACTAAAAACATTCACCTCGCAACAAATAGAAGCCAGAACTCAAGAATCACATTTATATCAAATTTAATGCTTCAATTGGTTGACCAACTTCAAAAACTAAAGCTCCTTATAGAACACTAACCTTTGCCTCCTCATCCCTGATTGAGTGTAGCCTGAATCTACCTTTTGTGTCATAGAGAAGACGGAAGTTTTCATTGGTCTTTGGAATAGAAACAACATCTGTTACAAACAGAAAGCAACACATAAGAAACTACATTCACAAAACAAATGTTAGTCAGAAAGCTGGCATAAGAAACTACATTCACAAAACAAATGTTTGTCAGAAAGCCGCCTTCTACCGTTCATCCAACCCAAACAATATCATGAATAAAGAAACCATATGAAGTTTATGACTAAAATTAATGAGTGTTGATTCATCAAGTCTCGTGCAAGTGAATTATAATCTTACAAGCAATCAACCTTCAACACTAAACAAATGCATAAGAATCTTTCCAATTGATTACAGCCTTTCATAAACTGAAATACGCATCTCAGCTAAGTGCCAAGCACCACAACCAGAATTCTCCAATCAACTACTTCTCTATGTAAACTGAAGTATGTAACATTTTACCTTAATCCCATCACAAACCAAGATACATGCAAATATATGAATTACTATTATTTTCATGAAAAACAACGATAGCAAAAAGTGGGCAAGTATACTAACCCATGAAACCAGCTGGGTAGGTCTTGTCAGTCCTGACTTTGTTGTCAACAAGCACATGTCTTTGCATCAAGATGGAAATCACCTCACGGTATGTCAAGGCATACTTCAACCTATTACGGAGAATGAGAATCAAAGGCAAGCACTCCCTAGATTTGTGAGGTCCTGACGATGGCTTAGGAGCCTTTGAAACAGAGATCCAAAGTTAGAAAAGTGACAACTAAAAAAAAAGCAAATTTCAAAGACAGAAGAAGATAAACTTACAAAAGCACCACCAAGTTTATCAAGCATCCAATGCTTCGGCGCATTGAGCCTCTTCATATGTTTCTTCAAACCCCTAGCCTACAAGACAAAAAAAATAATTGTTGGCTAAGATCATGTTGAATCGCTTGCACCATTTCACTGCACCAAAATGGTGTAAACAGTACTTCATTTCCAATACATTCCACCATTTCACTGCACCAAAATGGTGTAAACAGTACTTCATTTCCAATACATTCCACCATTTTTACACCAAATTTGTTAGCCAAGTCCAATCATTAAAATAACAAGTTCTCAATCAGAAGTTCTTTGCTACAAAAGTTGCAAAGCTAAGCACATAAGCATCAAACTGCTTACAGCAACATTACAACCATGTTTATCTTAATTGCAACTTGCATTAATAAAGGCTCTATTACTAGCAAGATCATTAAGATAAACAAATATCCGATTTTCTGCACTTCCAAACGGTTCATGCCAACTAATTTCAAAAACTAATACAGCAAATCCAAAGAAATCGAAAATTAAGTTCCAATCGAAATGATTTTGGCAGACAAATAACAATATAAGAGCTGCGTACACAAAATCATCAAAGAAGAACGAAGAAATAAATAACAAACAGAACAGCCATAATGAAAAACTGCAAAAATAACAAAGAAAACAGGTGAAACTGTACATCATCTAATAGATGCGAATCAAATCGTATAACACAAGACACAACGCTGCGATGGCAAAACCCTAGGAAACAAAATCAGAATCGAATAATCAGAAAATGCAAACAAATTATCATTTCAATGTACGCACATTACAATAAACTTAATATGCATATGAATTTCCAATACAACATAGAGTACAAGTAGAACCAGTCGGAAGAAAGAAACATAAGCAATACCATGGCTGCGGTGTCTTTGGGGAGATCTAAATCTCCGGTGGAATTCTCCGGCTAGACTGCGCCTTTTGTCTGCAACTCACTGCCGCGCCCCCACAATCTTCTTAAAGCTTTGGTCTGATAAACCCTAGATCGTATGTTTATATACCTTGCAAACCTATTTCATCTGTGGGCTTCTAATTGGGCCGGCCGGTCAGCAAGTTAGGTCTGTTTTTACTTTAGAGAACCCGGCCCAGCTATTTTGTTCGGATACCAGGCCCAACCGGATTAATGTTAATACAATAATGTATAGGCCTGGCCCAGGACATGTGCAGCTCGTTCGATTACACGGGACATGTCGTTCAATCACACAGAACATCATAAACCTAAAGGTTCGTTTGGTTTACAGAATTGTTTTTGAGAGATCTGGATTTAATGAAGAAATTTGGATTTTGAGGGATTTGTATTTGAAGGGACTTGAAATGAATAGTGTGTTTGGTTTGTAGGATTTAGAATGGAATTGGATTTCATTATTTATAAACCAATTTCAAGTAGTTCATCTCTGAATCAACTGCACTTTAACACTTTAACAAGCGACCAACTCGTCGAGAACCAATCGGTTTGAAAAATATAAATGACAAATTTCTTTGTCAACAACTCTCTCAAGTCTATTTGTTATATCATTCAAGCTTACATGCATTCAGTGGCATATCTCTAAGACCACGACACTTTTAACACTTTCAAAGTGATCAACTCGTCAAGAAATGTCATTGGTTTTATGAAACTTGAAATGAAATAGTCGAACGTTGTTATTGCGAAACAATGTCTACTTTCTTTTGATTTAAAATCTCACATTTTCGTCTCACACTCAAGCTAATAAAATTAGCTACTTATTATGGAAATTAGGGTTGTAAACGAACCAAACGAACACGAACAAGGGCTTGTTCACGTTTGTTCGTCTAACTTAACCGAACAAATGAACGAACATGAACGAAAATCTTTGTGTTCGTGTTCGTTCGTTTAGAAATCAGGTGTGTTAGTGTTCGTTTATGTTCGTTCGTTTTCGTTTATGTTTGTTCTTTTACATGCTAAACGAACGAACATAAACGAACATAAATAAATATTATTTGAATTCAAAGTAAATAAATAAAAGATTATATATTAAATTTCATACATAAACAAACGTTCACGAACATAAATGAACGAACGAGACTATTGTTCATGTTCGTTCATTTAACTAAACGAACAAAAAAAATTGTTCATGTTCATTTATTTATTAAATAAACGAACATAAACGAACTTCCCGCCGAACGGTTCACGAACAGTTTGCTGAACATTCGATTCGTTTACAGCCCTAACGGAAATAAATTGCAGGATAATATAAATGACTGAAAGTAAAGACATAGAAGTAAATGGCGAAAATTAAATACTGAAAGTAAGTAGCAGAATGTACATAACATAAATTAAAGAGCGGAAATTAAATAACTTAAAATAAAGAGTGTAAAGTATAGAAACTTAACAAACTTAGAGAGAATTCTTTAAAGGTTACTTTAGAGCCAAATGGATAATCTTCAAAAAGCTTCTCCTCAAATACTAAATAGACTAAATAAATTTTCAGGCAAATCACCTTGAAGGAAGCTTCTAAGTCCAAAAAAGTCGTCTTTTAGCTATCCTTCCCTTGGCTCATTCGTTTAAGTTTTTTCGTCTTTAGTTATGTTCTAATGCTGCTAGCATTAGCTGCAGTTTACAAAACCTGTCCAAAAACATCCATTTAAGCTATCCAAAGTGTAAAAACAGGTGAACTATAACTCTTAGATCCATGAAATAATTAAATGGAAAATAAGTTAAGAAAATGACTTAAGGTTGAGATATAAAAGAAAAATTTACCTAATCATAAAGAGAAAATGAGTATTTAAGCACTAAAATAGTGCGTATCAGTGGCCATACATGTAATTATTTTGTTTGGGGACCCAATCTAGATTTTTCAATAATCACATGGACAAATTTTGTAATTTACTCAATATTTTATTATATTTTTGTTATGTATTTAATTGAAACATCTCTTACATTTTTTATAATTCTTAAAACATACAAACAAAGTTAAAAGTTTTTAAAAACATTTACAATTAACTCTGCTCCATTTAGAGATTTCAACATGTAATTATAGAGTGGATTATATTCCTGGTCCCTTATATATGACTAATTTCTGGTTTTGGTCCCTCAAACTCATAAATTACACTCGTGATCCAATTTTTTTGTGTTTCACGGCCAATGTAGTCCCTCCCTTTAATGTCGTTAGTCTATGATTTGTTAAGTGAGTTATGTGCCCCTCACATGAGGGACTATATTGGTCCCCTTTTTTTTATGTTTATGATGACCAGGGTCACCATATAGTGCTTATTATCAATTTTTCCCTTTGGGTATTCAATATGTCACTATTATGGTCTACTCGACTAACACCATCAAGAAACTTTGTTAACACAGTTAAGTTAAAGGGCATCTTGGTCTTTTTACACATTTTTTGTCTTTTTCTTGAAATATAATAGATATATATATATATATATATATATATATATATATAGGAAATGATTCAAACAAAAGCACCTTCATTTTATGAGAAAGCGAAAACACTCTTTTACTATAGACAATCAAATGTGATACTATATTTCATCATATATGATATTAAATAAGAGACCCGCACGACTTTTGGCGCGATCTAGGTCGCGGGCCAAGTCGCACTTACACCACTAAGCCCCCTCACATATATTATCACATGTGATAAGGGTGTTTTTGATATTATACTATAATCCCTCATATGTGGTACTAAATCATAGGCGCAGACGACATTTCACACAACCTAAATCGTAGGACACATCATCTGCAGCACACCAGGGCCCATCAGGTGTATTATCACATGTGATAAAGGTGTTCTCGCGTTCTTATAAAATGGAAGTGTTCTCGTTTGAACTTCCACCTATATAAACATACATACATATATATATATATATATGTATATATATTATAAACATACATCCTTACATACATATATGAGGGATCCAAATAGATATTCGAAATTGGGACTGTCTACCAAAACCACTTCCCTTCCCGTCGCCTCCCACATGTGTTTGTCTTCCACATGCAATACCCTTAATTCTAGAAAAAACGACTAATTTAAAATTTCTAATAATACATCAAATAAAGGGGTAAAACTTTTTCTATAATCAAATACTTGAATTATCTTGAATATTAAAACTAGAATTTCAACATCGACAATTGGTAAACCAAGTATTAAGGTCGGGTGCTACAAAAACACAACAAAGTCGTTATCTCCAAATGCGGAAGACGTCTCCAATTTGCAACTTACTTCTCATGCCTCTAACTAGCACTCAATTTTTCATAGTGTCAGTAGTACTATTTCTGCAGTGAGGACCTGATGCACATGCCGACAAAGAAAAAGGGTTAGGCTTAACGCCTAGTGAGTTCAAGCAGTTTCACCATAATTATGAAATGGTAAAACCAAAAGACAGTTGGTTTAAATCAAAATTTCGTAATTGAAATATCTTTATCGTAAAAGCCCCGAACCCCATCATTTCTTGATGGAAACTCATTAACAGAATACTCAATTATACACAACCAGAACCCAATACTTACACGACCAAGAAATAAGCTATAAAATATTGGAAGGAAAAACAGCTTTAAAAACAAGTTATTTATAAAATTAACTCACGCTTACCCTTGGAAGGGTATAAAATATCCGAAGATGACAGAACACAAAAGTTAGCCACAATCCAATGTTATATAAGCATCACATTTGGATAACTAAATTAGCAAACTCAACTTCTTGAATCTTTCGCTTATGGAGCCACCAAGTTCAACTCCTCGAGTCTTTACCTTGAGAACTTTATTATCCGAGTTACGCTAATTTTACATTTTTCATATGATCTCCTCGTATAGACCAAACTACTAGGAGGACTCTAATTACACTATATGATCATGTGGCCGATGCCCGACTTCAAGAGTCGACACCTGGTCGCCTATTAAGACCCGACGCCTATTTCAAGTTATAAATAATTCACTTGGAAATTACACTATATGATCATTGGTTGATGCCCGACTTCAAGAGTCCACACCTTATCGCCTATCTTAAGAACTAATGCCTATTTCAAGTTATAAATGTGGAATATCATCCCAGAGATATCATATAAAACCGACTTCTATGTCTATAGATCCATTGCATTCTAGCCATAAAATTACACTACTCCAACTAAATAACTAGTGCACTCAAAACGTGTAATATATTATATAATTATGTCATAATTGCATATAATTCGAAAGCTCGACATAGAGCAAATTAGACTGGACAAATGTTCCCCAAGACTCGTTTAAGTCAAAACCGAGTCAAGAGCTCAACAATTTCATTGACTATAAAATAAAATGTATTGACCCAACGATTATGCAAACACATGCTCCAAATGCATGATTAACTCAAAGACCTATAATTGATTGAGACCAAATGAAATCATCTTCTTATTTTTCCATAATGCTTCATAACACGAAAATATGTATTTTCCTGACAGTTTAGAAAACCAAATACACCAAAATGAATTTATATCAAATAATTTCAATTCATACAGTAAATCATCTGAAGAAATCTTGATGTGTGTGTTTGTGTGTGTATATATATATATATATATATATATATATGAAAAATGTCCAAAAAACCTAAATATAGGCATTTTACAATATTTATTTACCCAATTTCACCAAATATGCAAATTTCGTCAAATACTCAACACATTTGATAAACATCAAATATAACACTTTTATACTTCAAAATACACATTTGGCATGTACATAGTTTTCACAAAGTAACTTGAACTCACTTTGCTAGATTTAGGTTAAATCTAGGTTTTACTCCACAACTTGAGTTTCCTTTGGTGAAAGCTTCAGCTCTACAACATCTATCACTAGGACCTTCATCTAGGTCATAACAAACCCAACATACACCAAAAGCAACCCCCAAATTAGACTCATGAATCAAACCCTGAACATGGTGCAAAAACCCCAAAAGCTTACCTTTCAACTTATTAGAACCCTATCTCTTTGAGAAAACT